GCTGGGTGCCAAACCTATTCCTCTTTACTGCCAGTGTGGTAGAGCAGTCCCCGCTCCTTCTGACGATCAGGGTTGATTACCCCTCATGGGATGGAGATTCCCTTTCTTGCCTGCTGGTCTCTTGGCATGAGGAGCCCGATGCTTCCAGATGGCAGCTTTAGCCTCCTATTTAACTGGATGCATGTTGTATTCCCTGGTGGAAGCACATCTCCTTTGGGCACCAGCACCTCTAAACCCACAGAGCCTGGGCACGAATTCCTCAAGTGGGTCAACAGTGTTGATGGTAAGCAAGGCTATTACTGCTTCCACCACTTAGATACCCTATCTTTTACGTCTTGAGAATGCAGCATCATATAATGGTTGTTTATTTAGTGTGTATATTACATCTAGGAGGGTGGCGTTCCATCCTTGCAAAGTAATGTCACTAAGCTGAACCCTCAGCTCTGTGCCTTCAACAGGCCTTTCCATCACTCTGCTTGTGTGGCAGCTTCTGGATGGTGCAGTATGTGACAAGACCAGGGGAGCATAAGTTCACTTGTCCACTCTTGCACCTCCGTTCCTATAAAGTGGGTCACTTGGGTTGCTGGAATGTTCTGTGAGATGCCATGTTGATAGATCAGTCAGTCTCTAAGCCTTCAGACAGCAATGCCAGCTGAGACCCCACAGACAGGAAAAGCAAACCCAAACCAGAAACTTTGGTGCACATGTTGTTGCCTCATGGTTAAACAACAGGTTCAGGACAAGTTGGAGGTAATTCACTTACCTATAACACGGGTACAAAATGGAGCAAAGGGCACAATTGCCTTTTAAGGATAATATGTGATGGTTCCCAGGGCCTGTGAGCACTGAGAAGTAAGTGGCCTCCATAAAACAAGGTAGAATTGGGGAAGGGGTGTCAGATGGCATGCCACTTTTCCTCACCGAGGTCCAGGTTACACAATAGGGTAACATCACAGGTTGACTGGCACCTTCAACATCCCAGTGGGTGTGTCCTCTATCTGCGTCTCTTCTGGCATGTGGAAAAAGTACACGGAAGGGGCAGCAACATGCTTGCTTCTTGCTGGAGTCAGGGCTCACCAGGGTGTAAAGGCCAGCCATACGCTTCTGGGCTCTACCTCCAGGAAGGACACCGGGGCTGGTGCCATGTATCACCATACACACACACTGCTAAAGGGCGGGTGGGGAGAAGTAAAACTTCAGCTTGTGTATAAGTCTTCCTGGGGTTGAGATTGCCAAACAGTCACCTCTAGAGCTATTTTGAATTCAGCCAATCTTACCACCAGGTTGAGAGGTGTCTGGGGAGACCTCCCTTTATTCTTTTTCTTGCATTCATTTCTAGTCTGTAGAACATTTTTCTCAAACACAGTCAGTAGTTGATGGTGAATCTATTAAGCTTCAAGATATACTATTCTAACCTCATATTTTTATTTTAAAAGAACATATTTATTCAAGTGCTACTTATTAAGGATGCTTTATTGAAGTCAATGTGCTTTATAGGACGTCTCTCGGAGCATAATTAGAGTGAGCCTGTTCGCGTGTCCTTAAGAGACAGTATCTGTGGGAAATTTGTAGAGGAGTATGTGGTAATTGTCACACTGTCCCTGTTTGAGGGTCATCCGCGAGGCAGGGTGCTGACAGAACAGTCCTACACACACACACACACACACACACACACACACACACACACTCTCACAGGGTGACTTAAGGATAATGTAGCCTTTTAGTACGTGATCCCACTTCTAAATTCAAAGCATATGTTTAAGTTCTGATTTTTAAAAAATAGCCAATTTGTATGCTTGTTGCACACAAAACTGGTTTGACTTAACTTGACTTTTCCCGGCTGAAAACTTTTCTCAGTTGCTGCCATCAATGGAAAACAGATTAAGAGACAAATTTCAAATGAACACTTGACACCCTTTCTCGAAAGGAGGAAAACAGAAGGGGAATGCTGGGCCGGGGCTTGTTTCTGCAGGGCTTGCTGTCAACAGCACGGTACTTAGCCCTCTGTGTGGATTTAACTAGCGCTGAAAATGTGCTGGGTTGTGAGAATGTGATCAAGCCCACCCCATGAAAATTTCAGGGTCACATCATTTACTGGAATACATTTGCATTTTTTTTGCACATAAATTACCTACATGTCCTTAGATTAAAACACACCTTCCAAAAAAAAAATTCCACATCATTATTGAATTGCAATTTCATACACTTAGCCTGAAATTTCCATTCTGTCAGAATCACTCATGTTACCCACAGTTTCAAAAGGCTAAAATCATTTTACTGTAACTATATTTTTTTCAATACTAGGCCAAGGATAAATGTGGTTACATTGATTTCTCACAAATGAACCTTAAACCACTGATTTGAAATGAGAAAACCACTGTTCACAATCACTTTCAATCTGAGGTATGTTTAATTGGCTTTAAAGAAACTTTGCCAGTTCATTTGCAAAAAAAAAAGACCAAAAGAACTCTTGAGCTCACTCTTGTTTCCAATACCCCAGAAGAAGCTTGAATGTGAAAGCGAAAGAACCTCTCATTCTTGGATGATTTCATCTATTTCACCCTCCTCGGTTATTTCTCTAGGAAAGCAAAATCTATGGACCCCCTGTTGGTCTCCCCTCTGAGTGCCCTACCAGTTTGGGCCCAGGGCTTTGTGTGTAAGCCATGATGAGAAAGGTCCCAACTGGAACTCCAGATTCAAGGTGTTGATGTTTACTGTTCAGGTTTTGAGTGTGTTATTTACAGCAGATCTCTCCTCCCAAGAACCTTCACTTTAGGGAATACTTATCAAATATTTGTCAATCAGATATATAACCAGCCTTGGTCCACAAAAAAGATTACTTTGTCTTAACCCACTCGCAATCATCCTCTGCTCCGGGCCCCTTCTGTTTGCCTCTCAGACCCACTTTCCTCGACTGCCCCAGGTTCCCTGAGAGTCTGACCCCCTCCATGTCTACATCAAAGGCTCCTTTGTCACCCGGCTTCTGGTTGGGTTCAGCTACAGGAGGCGCTGGCAGGAGATTAGAGAAAGGAAGGAGAGTAAGTTCAGAATATGTTTTCCTGGATCTGTCACTACTGGGCCATCACTCGTGTTGCTTGAGTTTTTTTCTTTTCTTTTTTCCATTTGTTTGTTTACTGAAGGCTGCAGCTCCTGCCAGGCAAACCTCAGTTACAAGTATCGCATCTTCTTTAGTGAGCTATTCTCCTAAGCCCTTTGCCCCTTAGGCCTAGAGTTGGTGAGATCATGTCAGCATGCTTCACACCGTTTTGTTTTTCATTAATCCTGCCAATTCCTTTACGAAACTCACTTTAATTCCCTCTTTGAATGAACTATCTGTGTCCATCTGGGACATTAGCATAATCTAAGGCCTGGATTCTTTACATATACCTTCCCAGAATCTAGAATGGAGGATAAACCACTCACTGGAAACTTAATTCATTAGTCATTTAATAAATACGGAACATGTTAGGAACCCACTCAGGTGTAAGAAAACGGTGGGGCCAACCATATGGCATTTCATTTAACCTGCCTGAGGTCCCCCAGGCTAGCTGCTGCACTTCCTATAATGCTATTTCCTCATTTTCTCTTAGCCTAGGCACTGAGAATAAAGCTTATTTATTTGTCTGTCTGCATTAGCATCCCTTATAAGAAGATTAAAAAGATAATTATTAATTTAAGGCAGGTACACATCACTGAATTTGAAGTTACACATTTGAGCAAGTATAGCTGTTCTGAATGACGTAAACAGACACATGCAGGGAATATTAAACACTTCAAGTTCTGCTTTGAAAGATGATCAAGCAATGATAGAATAGTTCAGAAGCAGATTGTTTCAATGTGATCTACAGATGGAAGCAAAGTGCAAGCAAGAGCCCCAAAATTAATATTGAATCTGATCAGAATCAGAAAATTTGGGTTTAGGTTCCATTCTTAATAGCTATGCCACTTTGAGCAAATTAGTTTTAGAGAGAGGAGATTAGAAGGTAGGTTTCTATGATATAATGCTGTTGTCCTATATTCTGCTAAAAATTCACTTACTTCCCTTCATTCAAAGACTAGTTTCCTAATCATTGGGTTCCCTACTTTACCTCATAGCTACTAAAACACATGTTTTGATCCCTATAATTTAAAATTTTTAAATAGATAATAAACTTGTGCTTATTTTTCTAGAATAGATAGGCTAAATTCTTATTCTTTACATTATTTCTTGAATGGACAGGAATTGCCTCCACATTATAAGCCCCAAATCCACCTAAACATAGCTCTAAATATAAATTCAGCATTTCTTATTTTAAAGATGCCTAAACCCCAATCTTCCCATTTTGGGATTTAATCTAATATTAAACACTTGATCCTTTCCACCAGATCAAGTGTCCTTCAATCTTCACATTTTTGGTATTCACTTCTCCCTACACAGATACAATGAAAGGGACTCTATTAGTGAAGGTTAAACCTAACCCCTCCTCATTACTCATTCCCCTTACTGCTTGAAAATATGGATCCCCAAACTTCTTATCCTTGATTCCTTCTGCATTTCCACATTGCACTCCGATAAAATTCTCAGAAGCTCCAATATTCTGTGCAATAACCTCTGCAATGACCTGGTCATTGGTTTCCTTCATTAATGACAGTTAAATCCAACTTGGGAGCCTTGAGGGCAGGAGGAGACTCTGGCAGCCTGTCACTGCTTACTGGCCTTCTCCTTGACATTACCTACATGCTCCATGAAGGATTCCAGGAATGAAATTTCCTACTTGATAGTAGTTCCATTCCCACTGAATCAAGATTTGTAGATAAGATAGTAGAAAACTTAAAAAAAAAAGAAAAAAGATAATAGAAAACTGTTGCTGGCTCACTGAAGTAGTACTGAATGTGTTGATTGTACATATATTTACTATTGACAAATATACACAGCAGAGCTAGTAAGTTTGCCAGTTATTTTTAATATGAGTATATTCCTTTACAAACAAATAAATAAACAAATATAGATATATGTGCTAATGGCTAGTCCAAATATCTCATGACATTTATCACTCAAGTAAATAGAGTTCACAACTTACTTCATAAGAACAATCCAGCATGGAAAGAAAGACCCTTTCGCACACAGGAATAGCAGGGTACAAATCAAAATTGGTCTCTCCAGGGTCCTGAGCATGCCTCTTGAATACTTGGTTGGGTTTCCTGACATTGTTGCTGACTCTGTGGAACCAAGACCAAATCCATTATTCACAATACCATTTCTCTCCCCAATTTCCTTATTCTCATAGAAATCTTCATTGTTGTCATCATCCAAGATGTGTTGCCTCTTTCATATTCTTGCCTTTCATCTATATATCTAATAATTTACCGGTTCTTATATTCTAATTATGAAACATTCTTCAAAATATCTACCATATTATTGCTAACAAAAGTTACGAGAAGACTGCCATTTTTTAAGCAGCAGTGAGGTAGAATGCCACTCTGAAAACTGTCAAGAACAGCATTCCAGAAGCTTTTCAAAATAAATACCAGCTGCCAGAATAATAATATATGCATGTGACATATTGATAAAATAAAATAATTTCAAATGAATATTTATTAAGGTTTTATATCTCCTTACATATTCTAAAGAATTGTTATGTTTGACAATGATTTCTCTTAAGCCATTTTACAACTTCATTTCACTTCTTTCAGCTTTTTTGTGAGGTCAGCTCACTCTATGGTCCATACTACTGGGGAAATGTAGGAAGAAGGAACAAGCAGAGGAAGCAGAATTTTAATATTCATCGCTTTATGGTTCTAGATAGCTAAATGGCAACTCTAACCTGTCATTACCCTAACCACCCTGCCTCTGGCGTACTTGAAAAATGGCAGAGGATAGAGTTAAACATGATTCCTTTGTGCCTATGCAAAATGACCCCTTATTGGTCTCTTTTTTTTAAAAAAAAGCTTATTCCAATTGTATCTATACCCTACATTTAATATCAATCAAGAGGAATTATAGGAGTAAAAAAATATTGTAAAATCTTTTATTAAAGAAAAATAAGTCATTGGAAAAGAACCTCATTGTCTTGTATATCTGCAATTAAAATAACCTCCCAGCTGTCCCAACTCCTGAATTAAGGTTCTTCAGACTCAGTTTTTCATAAACAATTTCAGCACACATTGCCTATGCCCTAGCATCTAAAGTTCATGTCCTGCTGTGCGGTTGTTAAGGCCCTTCATAACCGGAACTCACCCTGCTTATTCAAACCTATTTTCCATCACTTCCTGCCAATCTCCTACATGTCCCTCTCCCCCTAAACAAGGCACATCCCTGCTTTCTGGGTTTTGCCTCTATTTGGTTGTTCTCTCTCCCCACCTGCCATCTATTCTTTCCTTCTCCTAATTAAATGCTTCTAGTCCTCAAAGATCATCCCTTCACAGCCCTCCAAAGGACTTAGAAAATTCTAGGGTAGTCTTACGTGCCCCATGCCTAAGCTGATCAGCTTCCGATGGCTTCAACCAATCTCTTTTATTCCTCTAATATTTCCCTGAAGTCCTTGGTTTCTTACTGACAATACCATGTGAATTAGCACATAGCTTAGCACCCTTATATTGTTCCAGAATGAATATACATGTGCTAGTCTTGTCTCCTCAAGTAGACTGTCATCAGGGACTGTGAGGAAAGGTTGTTTTTTTTTTTTTTTAATATATATAGCTACGTGTGAGATTAAATTTGTTTCAACATATGTTGTGTATAAAACTAATTCTGCTCTTTTAGAAAGATGCTAAGTGATTAAATCATTCACATAGTAACAAACCTGAAGATCCGTAAGCCTGAACTCATAAGAAGCTGGTCGTCAGCACAGGCATGGGGTACATAAAACTCTCTCAGAATTTTGGAGGGGGTGGCCACATGCAAGAGCAAGAAGCTTACAGCACGGGAGGCTGCTCCAGGAGGAGAAACCATAGCTTGAGAGTAGCAGTTTTGGTCTAGAAAGATTTTTTTAGATTCTTCGAAGGAGAGGCAACTGACTGCTTTGAAACATGAAAAACAGGCAAAACAGTGAGTTAGAAGGTGTTTGGATTCTAAGCAATATTAATTTGTAATTTTCACAGAGATTTTAATCATTTAGAATAGAAGACTGAAAAACTAGAAAGATAACATAATAGTCAGGGTCAAAGAGGGAATTAGGTCAAAGGTAAGTTATCGCATAGCTTAAAGACAGACAATATATGGCAGGCCCAGCTTGGTTTGTCAGGGTGTGGGGGGCTGGTGAGAGGCCTGAGGATGAAAATCCAGTGGTGGAAAATAGGAGACAATAAAGTCAGGGAGGCAGAGAGGTACCAAGAAGTGCAATGACTGGTGGAGGTGGCAGATGGGTTGGCTGAGAGGCAACTTGAGGAAGGAGTGGGGGCAAGTCCCAGGTACCTATTTACGGGAGGGGAGCTAAGAGGCAAGACTCATTCTTTCAAGGGTCTGGAAGGGGCATGCAGCAGGCTGGTTTCAGAGAAATTGGATATAAGGATCAAGGCAGGTGTCTGCTTACTCTTTCTTGGAGCACAAGGTCAGGCTTGGAGCTATAACTGGAAGACTAAATGATTAGCTAAAGGCCCTTATGATGCTCAGACCAAGAAGGGGAAACCTTCAGGTGATGAGAAAGTAGACCAGCACAGGGGCAGGAAGGCTACAAAGACAATTAGCATGACCACCTCTTTTGATTTACCTTTAGATAGTATTAATGCACAACACATTTAAGATTGATTAAGTAAATCATATTTAATATCTCTTTTTCTTGCTATGTGTAACCTGGCATTTCCTCAGGGGTTCTTACTCATTTGGCAGCAAAGCATCTATCTTTCCTTCTGTGCTGGGTAATTTTATGTGTCAAATTCAACTGGACCACAGGATGCCCAGATAGCTGGTTAAACATTAATCCTGTGTGTACCTGTGAGGATCTTTCCAGAAGAGGTTAGCATGTGGATTGGTGGATGGAATAAAGCAGGTGGTGTCCCCAATGTGGGTGGGCATCATCCAGTCTGTGGAAGGCCTGAGTAGAACAAAAAGAGGCGGGGTGAGTTTGCTTTCAGCCTGCCAGTTGAGTTGGGGCATAGATCTTCTCCTGCCCTCACCACTCCTGGTCCTGAGGACTTCAGACTTGGGTTGGAACCTACACCATCTGGCTGTGGTTCCCAGGCCTTCCAACTACATCACCAGCTTTTCTGGGTCTCCTGCTTGGAGGTAGAAGATCATGGGACTTTTCAGCCTCCATAATCATGCGAGCTAATACTTGATCATGAGATGGCTCAATATATGATAAATACCTTAATAAACACACACATGCAGTTGATCCTTGAATGACCCATGAGTTAGGGATGCCAATCCCCTGCACAGTTGAAAATCTGCTTATAACTTTTGACTCCTCCAAAACTGAAGTACTAACAACCTACTGTGGACTGAAAGGCTGACTGATAACATACACAGTCTATTAGCACATAAACAGACTAGCACAAACAGGTATTTTATGCATTCATGACATACCTAACTTTTTCTTAATTTTTTGGGCATTTTGAGGCTACACAGTATATCTGCAAGTTTTTTCAAATTGTCACAAATGTCCAAAAAAATCTCCAATATATTTATTGAAAAAAATTCACATATAAACAGACCCATTCAGTTCAAACCCATGTTATTCAAGAGTCAACTCTTTTGTGTGTGTGTGTGTGTGTGTGTGTGTGTGTGTGTGTGTGTGATCTCCTTTTGATTCTATTTCTCTGGAAAACCCTGACAAATACACCTTCTGCGCTGTACTTTCCTTTTTAAAAGATAGCACCACTTACTCTGGAAGTTGTGGATGGAGAAGGGGCAGGGTTCAGAAGAAAAGCAACAATGCCCTAACAGGCTTGGATTCAGCACTCAATGTTCTGGCCAAATCACAGAGGCCATTCTCCATGCTATTTCTGAAACCACCAGAACCCCTGCACCCCCTACCAGGCTGAGCATATAACAGGTGTTCACCAACACTTAGGAGGGGTCAGAACATTCCACACAAATATTAAAGGTGTTCTCATTTGCAAACTCTACTTGAAGGAGCCTGTTCACTGAATAAAAGATTTTTGCCTGGGTTGCAAGAATTTAAATGTTCCCATTTTCTTTCAGGAGGTACACATTTTACTTTAAATCACCATGCATTATTCATTTCACTTTAATTCTGCGGTGCTGACCCTGGCATTTCATAACCCTGCAACGCTGCTGCATACCAAGTGTCTTCCAGCAATGCGGGCTGGTCTGAAGCTTCACATAAAATAAAGCCTTGCGCATCTCTCTCCTGCGACAATGTGAGGTCGCTGCGCAAGCCTGTCATAAACTCAGCTCCCCACTGGTGGAAGAGATGCATCTGCTGGCACAGCTCTGAGTAGCGAATATGTTCCATCCCTGAAAATACATGCTTAAATATTTAATAAAAGCATAAATTTGAAGAACTTCTGGCAGCTGTAGAGAGAAAAGCTGAATAGAAGGTAAAAACAATCTTAATTTGAGGAGATTAAGAGAGTTAAGGAAATGCCTATGGTACTACACAACTCTATGGTAAACAAACACTCCAGGGAATAAGGAAAGAAAAAAAGAAACACACGGAATGCTTGCCCCATGCAAGGAAGTAAACACAGTCCAGAATATTCTGGAGGTTCAAGTCTAAAGCAAAATCCGAGCTATGTATGACTGGGCCAACCGCTTTCTATAGCCTCCCTTATAAATCAGCCCTGCCCCTCGGGAGGACAGACGGCTCAGTATGTAATACATAACCACAACCTGAGCTGAGCAGGACCTGCCAGAAGCAAAGCAACAAGGGTGTCTCAGAGAAAAGATAAATTGTGCTCTTTTTTAAAACCCATTGGAACTGCTCCCCCTGGCAACCCGGGGTACAGCAGGAGACATCAGCATCTTCCAACACACAGGCAACCAGCTGTACAACCTTGGCAAAGCAGCCAGTAACTGCAGCCAGGTGGTTGTGTGTCATTAACTCAAGCCTCCAAACCCCAGGGCGGCTCCCAGGTCCCCGGGGCTGTTCACAGGCGTGGCAGGAGCTGCTTTTTTCTGGAGGTTTAGAGAATCTACATTCCAGTGCTGCCTTGGGGGCAGGGAACGTTAGTCAGCCTTCCGGAGCACAGGCAGTACCAGACTAGCCCATTCCCAATGTATAAATAAATGATCCAGGAGTGACACAGAGGGTCCTTCCTGCCAGGCTGAAGGCAGCACTCGTGTTTCTGTTTCCAGGAAAGTCAGAATGAAATAACAGAACATGGAGAGAGTCTGCAGGCACTCAAAGCCAGGCAAAATCTGTGGAAATGAAGACCAGTTTAGAGGATTAACCTCAATCTCCACTTAAAGCAAGCATCTCATGAATAAGTCATTCACTTTTGTGGGATTCGTTTTGATCAGCTTGTCTTGTGCATACTTTAGATCTTGTTCAGTAAGAAAATCTGTCTTATGATTGAGGTTACAGGGGATTTTTTTTTAAAGCCCAGCATTTAGGAAATGGGACGGATATAGGATGAGGCAAAATAATGTTCTAAGATAAATGGAAGAGTTTCAAATACTCCTTTTGCCAAGATACCTCCAAGGGCCAACCCCAGACAGTGGGAGCAGCCAGATCCTTTGCCTTATTTCTGCATTCTGAGACTCTGACTCCCCAGGTCTGGATTTTAGGCTTGTTATGTGAGTCTTATGATTTGGTGGCATTCTCAGTTACACTGACTTTTATAGCTTGGGTGGGAACCTACTGACCATATATAAGAATGTTTCTCCGAGAAACCCTTTCCAAGTTTTCTTCAAGTGACTTAATAAAATAAACTTTGGGGAAGCATTGTTTATAAATTTGGGACAGCCTATATCTAGTCTGTAACATACTGGCTTATTACCTGCAGTGAATAAGATACAGATAATCAAGCAGAGACATTCCCTAAATTTCACATTCAACATGATCTATCACTTGTTTATTATACTTGATGAGTTTATTGGGTACTTGTGAGATGCTGTGGATTCAGAAGTGCATAAGACATGGTCCTAGTATAACAGAGGAAAGGGCCTGAGAAAAAAATATGAACTATTATTTATATTTTCTGTCTCTTTAAAACTTCACCCACTCTTTTGGGGAACTGCAACCTGGCCTGCATCCCTGAGGCAGGTTAAGTCCTTTGTTGAAAGACCCCAGGAGGTGCCAGCCCCCAAGATGGGTGGCTGGTGGAGTTCACAGGCTTTGTCTTTGGCAAAGATGGGACAATTAGGATAGTTAACCATAATAGCCTAGAACTGAGGGACCCTCCCTTTAAAAGCTCTATATTTCTGCCTATGTTCAGGAAATTTGAATTTTGAGAGGAGAAAGTCTACCATTTTTTCCCCTTTGCCAGCAAAGTAATAAAACTTCTCTTTCCTCCTCCCCAAACCACTTGTCCTTGTTCTTTCTGATTCAGCCTCATGGACAAATGCCTAGTGTTCCATGACAGCAGCTCTTGAGGAGTGCATATTCTAAGAAAGCAATTGCCATCTGATGAATGAAGGGCTGAGATAAAAGGAAGAGCAAGACATTTCCTTGCAAAGGGGGATCTTGGGGAAGCATAATAGAAAAATTGGGGGAGAAAATGGCTCCAGATTTGTATCTTAAAGGACAAGTACGTTAGGTGATATGGTGTGAATGTTTATGTCCTCCAAAAATCCCTAGGTTGAAATTTTACCCCTCCTCAAGATGATGGTATCAAGAGGCGGGGTCTTTGGGAGATAATTAGGTCACAAGGGCAGAGCCCTTATGAATGGGATTAGTGCTCTTAGAAACAAGGCCCAAGAGAACTTACTTGACCCCTTCTGCCATCTGAGGACACAGTGAGAATTTGGCACTCTACAACCCAAAAGGGGGCCCTCACCAGAACCCAACCACGCTTGTATCCTAACCATGTCCAGTGGACCATTTGATTTCCTTTTTGATTTTACCTAGGATTTACCTCATTGGAAGTAAGTAAGTAGAACTAGTCTTACCAAATTTCTGGTTACTCTGAAAAAAGTAGGTCCATGGTTTTGAAACATCTGGTACTCAAAAAACGTCGACATGTTCTGTGACAGATTCCCCACTTCCCTATAGTGTCTATGTGTCTTTAAGTTCAGCTGAGCTGCTAGAACTCACAGAGGAACAAGCAATGGAATTTAGCATTTGTTGAATATTTAAATCACTCATTAATTTAGGGACTGTTACAAACATTGTATAGACATAAGAGTTTTTCAGCAGGTATATTTGTATTAATAGTTCATCAATGTAAGGAATTTGGATTAGTGTTTCTCAACTGGCAGGCAACGGTGCAATGCTGTGCCATGAGTGTGCCATAGATGTGTTTTCTTCAGCCCTTCTGGCAGTCATGTGGGACGCGGAGTTGCAGTCGTTCCTGGGCCAGGGGCCTCATGCTGACAGCATCTTATCCATTTATCCAAATGCTCTAAGATATTATTTTCTAAGTTTGCATGACTTGAAAAAGTTTAGGAAGCCTCACTGTGTACTATAAGCTTATTAATACTCCTGACCAATCTATCCTTGACCTTGCATAGTGCTGGACCTAAGGCAAGATGCATGCCAACCCCCATGGCCTAAATAGCTCTCAGAAGCACTGAGCTGGGCCTTATGGCTATTCATTCCCATCCATATGCAAACAGTGCTGACAAATTGTGTTTGATGATGATGGTGACGATGTCTGGACTTCACACTGAGACCCACAGACTCATCTGGACAGAGGAGCTGAATCAGCCTCAGTCCACTCCCTACTGTTCCATGTGCCCCCAAACCATCCCAACTTGCTCTATTTCTAGCAGAAACAACTGAAAAAAAAAATCCCTGCCATAAGTAGACAATTAGATTTATTTTGACTCATGAATAATCAGATAAAACAATTTAGAAAAATATACAATGTGTTAAGAAATAATGTTCATATAAGCTTGAGGCTGATGTAGTGTCAAAGCTCAGGCTTAATGATCCAATGGGAAAATCAGTTGTCAAAATCTTTCTAGAGATGACAGTGAATGAAGGCCAGTGAGGAAAAACAGCGGTACCATTCAGTGCAGTCACGTGTTAGCGGTGGTGATCATGGCCCTGTGGCAGTCTCTAGAGCCCTTGACAGAGAATAGAAGGACCCCACTGAACAGTCAAACCCAAAAGATGACACTGCTGGCATGTCACGGTTGTCACCTCCCTCCCTCACACTGAAGCTCTGGACAAGTGGCATTTGCTTGCTATGGAGGCCACAGGTATAAGGAACAGTAGGTGAGTGGGCACAGAGAAGTTACCTCAGCTTAGCCATTTTATGCCAATCTCTACCCACATGTGTTCTTCATTTCAGATTGAGGAGTTGCACCCAAACAGATCGGAACTTGCAGTTCTCTTCCTCAACTTGTTTAGCAGAGACTGCCCTGCCTCTGAAATCAAGGGTCACTGACCCAGGATGCAAAGAGTCACCCAAGAGACCTGCAACCAGGAACACTGGCTGGGCAATTTGCCTGCATATTGCCTGGAGAAAGATGTGGTGTTAACAAATGGATGAACCCATGTTATTTTAAAAGATAAAGATTTGTACACTATAAATATCTAGAGTTAAGGAGGATATTTTCCTAGATCTTTAAAGGTAACAACATATAGGAATTTTTCTGAGGTTGAAGCCTAGATGACCCATGTTGTGAGATGACAGTTGATACTTAAAAGCAATTTCTCAGGAAGTATTCATGAATATTTGTTCTGAGTAACACTGGTGTACATTTTGAAAGAGAATGAAAAGAAAAACACTATGTTGGGTAGTTACAAGAGTGGTGGAAACTTCAGGAGGCAAATCAAAGTTTTAAAAATGATGCTTTGCTTCACATTGATCCTGTTCACAATGCATATAGAATGTGCATATGTATGACATATGAAAATAATCTACGTATATATCATATACATGATATATGTATATATACATATACTTGACATATATACATATTATATGGGCACATATACACTGTGATGGTTAATTTTATGTGTCATCTCAACTGGGCTAAGAGATGCTCAGAAAGCTGGTAAAACATTATTTCTGGGAACCCAGAAATCCATATATTTATAGCCAACTGATTTTTGACAAAGATATCTGCCACAAACATTCCTTGGGGAAAAGAAAATCTCTTTAATAAATGGTGCTGGGAGAACTGGAGATCATATGCAGAAGAATGGAACTAGATGCCTGTCTCTCACCATACACAAAAATCAGCTCAAAATGGGTTACATACTTAAATGTAAGATCTGAATCTATGAAGCTACTAGAAGAAAATATAGAGGAAACATTTCAGGACATTGTGTTGTGCCAAGATTTTTATGAAGAAGACCTCAAAAGCATAGGCAACATAAGCAAAAATAGCCAAATGGGATTATATCAAACTACAAAGCTTCTGCACAGCAAAGGAAACAAGCAACACAGTGAAGAGACAATGAGCAGAATAGGAGAAAATATTTGCAAACTATTCATCCAACAAGGGATTAATAAGGAACTCAAACAACTCAATGGCAAATAAAGAAGAAGAAGAAGAAGAATTCCATTAAAATGGGTAAAGGACATGAATAGACATTTCTCAAGAGAAGACATACAAATAGTCAACAGGTATATGAAAAAAAAATACTCAGCATCACTAATCATCAAGGAAATGCAAATTAAAACCACAATGAGATAATCACTTCATATCAGTCAAAATGGCTATTATCAAAAAGACAAAAAATAACAAATGCTGGTGAGGATGCAGAGAAAGAGGAATTCTTACACACTGTTGGTAGGAAGATAAATCAGCACAGCTATTATACAAAACAATATGGAAGTTCCTCAAAAAACTAAAAACAGAACTACTATATAAAATAGCAATCTCACTACTGGTTATATATCCAAAGTAAAGGAAATCATTGTTTCAAAGAGATCTGTATTCCCATGTTTATTGCAACATTATTCACAATAGACAATATATGTAATCAACTTAAATGCCCATCAGCAGGTGAATGTACACAGAAAATATGGTATATATGCACAACAGAATACTATTCAGCCATAAAAAGAATGAAATCCTATCATTGTGGTATCATGGATGACTCTAGAGGACATTATGTTAAATGAAATAAGCCAGGCACGGAAAGGCAAATACACCATGTGTTCTCACTCATATGTGGAATCTAAAAAAGTTGATCTCATAGCAGCAGAGAGTAGAATAGTGGTTACTGGAGGCTGAGAAAGGTGGGTGAGCGGGGATAGCCACAGGTTGGTTTACGGATACAACACTATAGAAAGATAGGAGGAGTTCTAGTGTTCCATGGCACTGTAGGGTAACATTGACCAATATCAATTTATTGTATATTTTCAAATACCTCTTCTGAGCAGATCTGTAATGTTCCCAACACAAAGAAATGATGTGTTTGAGGTGATAGATATGCTAATTATCCTGATTTGATCATTACACATTTTATACATGTATCAAAATATCACATGTACCCCCATAAATATGTACAGCTATTATGTCTCAATCTAAAAATATAATAAAAGCAAAAAAACTCCATTATTTCTTTGAAATAATGTGTGTCTTTGAGGGTGCTTCTAGAAGGGTAAGTATTTGAATTGGTAGACTGAATAAAGACTATCTGCCCTCACCAGTGTGGGTGGGCAACCTCCAATCCATTGAGAACTTGAATAGGACAAAAAGGGAGAGGAAGGGAGAACTCACTTACCCTGTCTGAGCTGGGACATCTGTCTTCTCCTGCCCTTGACCATCAGAGCTTCTGGTTTTCAGGCACTCAGACTAGTACTAGAAGTCGCATCATCAGTATCCCTGATTTTATTTGAACTCAGACTGAAATGCCTCTGCCTTTCCTGGTTCTCCAGCTTCAAATGGAAGATTGTGGGACTTCTTGGCCTTCATAATCATGTGAGTGAGCCAATTTCTTATTCCCTCTGTCTCTCTCTTTCTCTTTCTATGTGTGTGTGTGTGTGTGTGTGTGTGTGTGTGTTTATATCCTCTTGGTTCTGTTTCTTTGAAGAACCCTAATACATAAATATATATGTATATCATACATATAAACACATACACTTCATCATTTCATCTACAAGAAGAAGAGAGTCATATAAATAAGCTCCTTAACCTCCATATATACACACATAACATGTATGTGTGTATTATAGTGTACTTATTCATAGATGGTACATTCATTCCTAAAACATGAAGAGGGGCTGCCTCTGGAAAAAGAGAGACCTGAAAACTTAAAATAGTGCAAAAAAGAAGAAAATGAAATTCAATTGCATCAATACTTCAAAGAAATGCTAAAGTAGAAATTTACTAAAACCAGAGAAAAATTGTGTTAGTGAATTATAAATGTTAGTGGTTACTTCTTGAAGACAAGAATTGATTTTAAATTAATTTGTGTAGTCTACTAGACATTAGGTACAAGGCTCACCCAATCCCTTTTTACATATGAGGTTCTTGAAAATAAGCAGAGAATTATGTTACATCAACTGAATGCTAAAAGTAGAAAAACTCAACAGTTCTGAACTCTCTTCACCCAATTTGCACTAACCATAGGGAGGCAGCATCATGCAGAGAACAGAGTATAAACTGGGGAATCAGACAGACATAGATTTAAATCACAGCTTCATCATTTCCTAGCTGGATATGTTATTTAAGTATTTTAAGGCTCAACTAATCTATATGTCACCGACTATTATCTCACAGTTCCTATAAACAGAAGATGAGATAACATTTGACTCTCCTAACATACATATTAAGTACTCAGTAAATGTTTATTTTCTTTCCTTGGAATCTTTCACCACCAAATGATGAAGATACATTGATCTTTGTCCAAGTGTCCAAAATTGTATATGGAACATCCACAGGGCAGTATTAAGCAGTATACTAGATGCTTTCACAATTATAGTGACCCTATTTAGTACTTCCTTTGGTCTTGCATGACTTTGTATCCCATTTTATAGTAAGCCAAAGCTCTGAAAGTCCTTATTCAAAAGTTAGGTCATTGTAACCACAAAGCCCTTCTTCCCTACATCTAGCTACTCTCACTTTCTGTTGGAGCAGCATCTGTTTTGACAGTTGCTGGGGTGTCTGCTGTCACAGGCAGCAGTATCACAGCCCCCGACATACAGAATCCTCCCTGGCTCTGCCCCAGCTAGCCGTTCACAAAGGCATCCATGCAGCAGATATCTGTTGAGCACTTTCTATATGCCAGGCAGTGTCACAAACACTGGAAAACCGAGTCTGCTGAAAATGGTTAGGTATACCAGTAGCTTGGGGCCTGAATCTTCAGTT